AGGGGTGAGCCGTGAGGAGCACGTTTTCTCCCAGAAAGGCGGGTGGAAGGACCCGGCCAGCGACGCCCATCGCCAAGGCGAGCGCCCACGGGAGCTGCGTTCGCGGGCCCCTCCGCTTCAGCCCTTCATCTCTAAACCACGCATGGGAGACTCCTAATGCTGCATTTTTTAGCTCCTTATTTTGAGGTAATTTTTGACTTATGGAAGAGTTGCGAAGATAGTTGTAACTTTGTTTTTATTCACAAAAAGTGTTTGGATCCAGTGTCTTCGTTGTGTGCATCGTAAGAGATGTTCCTCGTCGGAGTCTGCAGTGTAAACAGGGTCTCCTGCCAAGCCCCTGCCACCGTGGGAAAGGCTGTGCCACCCCTTGGGCCCTTTTTGAGAGGCCCGAGTCCCAGGCCCAGGTGGGCACCCGTGCCCCACCCCACACTCTGGGTGCCTGGTTTATTCCAGACGTCTTGGAGAAGTTAAGAATACGTGACTGGAAAGTAAAGCAGTGAAAATGTGCAACTGTTCTTTTACTTTGCTGAGGTGTGATATCGAAGAGTTTCAGACTTTTGATGGAAACAGCTGACACTTTTAAAGTAATTTAGATTCACTGTTTTGACTTGGGCTGTATATGAAGAGGGCTCCTCTGGCCGCTCAACAGTCCCGTCAGCTCTCTCTCTTTTTTTTTTTCTTCGGTCTCTTTGCAGAAGAATTACTTTAAGGACTTGCCCAAAGCCCACACCGCCTGTGAGGGGGCTCTGAACGGGATGACATTTTACGTGGGGCTGCAGGCTGAGGATGGGCACTGGACGGGTGACTACGGTGGCCCGCTTTTCCTCCTGCCAGGTAGGAGTATGCTGCCCCAGCCTGAGGGTATGGCCACCCTGGATCACCCTTGGGATCCTGCCCCAGCCTGGTCTAGGGTTTTGATGAAGCAGGTGAAAATCCAGGGGCTCACATAGAAAAGGGCTGGCAAACTCTGCTCTGTGTCAGAATCGTCCTGCTATTGGCTAGCCTTGCCAGTGTAGGGTGACAGGCTCTCTGATAAGAGAAGCAAGTGGTTCTCTAGGGGTCTGTGTTGCCTTGAGGGAGGAGGAAGATGGGCTTTGAAGTCTCAGTACAGAGTGGGATGGGCATTCCAGGTGGAAGACCTAGCCTGTGCCAAGGGGCTGTAGGTGGGCAGAGTGGTGGGTGGGGAGCTGTTACCTGCTGTGAACTTACTCTTAGCTACTGCAGGGGAACTTCAGGTTCAGGCTGGTGAGTAGGAGGAGCATAGCAGTTGGACTACCTGGGTATTGAACTGATTTGAACTGATTTGGCTACACAAGACTATTTTGCATACTGGGAGTGTTTCTCTACAGAAATCCTCAGCCTTGTAAAATGGGAAATTCCCTCCTATGAATTTATGAAATAGGACTTTTTCCCCTAGTGACTTGTGATCACATTGTTTCAATGATGTGAATTCCTACATAAATAGGTTTTGTTTCTGTAATGACTTTTATTGATATGTCATTTTCTTTTACTACGGTGATTTTGTAGTAGATAGAAAGTCCTTATATATCTTTGTTGCGTTTCTTTTTAAAACATCTCTTACATGTGTCTATTCATTTACTCATCCAAATTGCCTTTATCCTGATTCCGTCCCAGAATAAAACCTGTTGGGACTTGAAATGAAGTTGCATTAGGTTTATATGTTAGTTTGGGAAAAGTTGGCCTTTAATGTTAAAAACAGTTCCATGGTGTTTGAGCCCTGCTCAAGTCCTGTTCTTCTTTTAGTCCTTAGAATAAGCCTAATGAGATACATTAGGAAGCTGAGGCACATTTATTCCAGGTCACTAGACTAGCAGGAGGAGCACTGGGATCCCATCTCTGCTTTGACTTCTAGCCCTGCTGCCACCTGGACTGTACAGCTTTGAGTTTTCCTGTCCTGGGATTTGAGGGCTTGTCCTTAGGGGAAGTCAAGGTGCTCTTTCTTCCCTTGGCCCCATCAGGGAATGTTGAGACTGTTCCCAGGGCTCCTGGTAAGGCAATGACATAGAGTTGGTCAGGAGATAGGTCAGCCTCACTTTGCCTCTGTAGCCTCATCTGTGACAGGATTGGAATCAGGTTTGGTTATGTGCACAGTGTCAGGCACGCAGTGGTGCTTGGTCGGTGGGGACTACTGTGTTGTTTGTTCTTGCTGCTTTGGCTCTGGGCTTAGCTTGCTGGGACCCTTCCTGTGGGCTGGTTGTGAGTTGGAGTTTTTTTGTTTTTTGTTTTTGAGACAGCATTTCGCTCTTGTTCCCCAGGCTGGAGTGCAATGGCACGATTTTGGCTCATTGTAGCCTCCGCCTCCTGGGTTCAAACGATTCTCTTGCCTCAGCCTTCCGAGTAGCTGGGATTACAGACATGCGCCACCATTCCTGGCTAATTTTTGTATTTTCAGTAGACACGGGGTTTCACCATGTTGGTCAGGCTGGTCTCAAACTCCTGACCTCATGATCCGCCCCCCTCAGCCTCCCAAAGTACTGGGATTACAGGTGTGAGCCACCGCGCCTGGCTGAGTTGGAGCTTTTCTTCCCTGTTTCTGGACTTTGGAAAATGCTCCTGGTCCATGATACTATGTAGACAACTCCCATCGAGTGTGGCCTGTGCAGCATTGGGCAGCACTGTGGTGAGCACTGAGTGGGGTCTGACCTAGCCCCACCATTTACTGGCTGTGCCTCAGTTCCCTTGCCTGTAAAATCAGGAAGATGCTGGCTCTGCTCCTGTCTGCACATTTCCCGGTCCTAACAGCATTATAACTGTTAGGAAAGAGATGGGCTTGTTTTGGGATGGCTCATTTTATGTGACCCCGTGCGCTGTCTCTGAGTCCATTGCTCTTCTTCCAGGGCGTGTCTGGATGGTTTGAACACTAGGGCTTCTGATGCTCTAAGCCAGAGTCAGGTATTCATTCCATGGCACATGTGGCTGGGGTCTGCCCTGAGACCTGTCCCGTGCCAGGCTCTGGGGGCACATGGCTGATGGAACCAAGCATGGGGGGTAGAGGGTGGCCTGTGAGCACCATGCCTGAGAGGACCAGGCTGGGGACGGAAGGTTCTTAGTGGATAATATTTATTGTTGTCTCTCCCTCCCCCCTAACATTTGCAAAGCGGCATATGCTTGTAAAAAATTTATGAAACAGAAAAATATAAATAAGCAAATAGGTATTACCGCATGCAAGGGTGACCAATTTTGTATTTTTCTTCCTAGCAGATGTTAAAGCAAGACCAACAGCCTCCCCTCATGGAAGGCCCACTGATCTAAAATGTTGGTTCCTTTTGGACCTTCAGGGCACTTGGGAGAGGCCTTCTTGAGGTGCTGTGCAGGGTTTGGTGTTTCTCTGAGCGAGATGGTCATGGGAGCCAGGCATGGCTGAGTGGACTCTGCAGGCCCTAGGCAGGGAGCATCGCCTGTGCTGTGGCTGACGTTCCCTCTGGCCCTGTTCCCAAAGTCCCCCATGGGGGCCTGGGAGGAATGGCCTTTCCAGGGGGTGTTTTCATGAGAAGGAGATAGCTCCCTGTTGGAGTGAGGTGCTCAGGAGGAAAGGGGCCTGGTCTTAGCAGTGATGACCACCTGCCCCCAGCGAGGAACATCTCTCCTGCCACACAGGCCTCCTGATCACTTGCCACGTGGCACGCATCCCTCTGCCAGCCGGATACAGAGAAGAGATTGTGCGGTACCTGCGGTCAGTGCAGCTGCCCGACGGTGGATGGGGCCTGTGAGTGTGCCTCCCCTGTGTCACTGCACATGTGCATGTGTGTGTTCTCATGATGTAGGAGATGCTTGGGTTTCCAGGCAGCTGCCAAGGATTAGGAGTGATTGCAGCTGTGGGCCCGGGGTGGGTTCGGAGAGACTAGCAGGAGGGGAGTGGGCTGGAGGCTGTGCAGGTGGGGCCTCGGCTTCACATCTTTTGTTAAATGGGTTTTGTGACTGTTAGGACACTCTTGAGACCCACATGTGAAAACTGTCAGTCTGTTATCACTTAAGGCAGAAGAAAGTTGCCTTTGACTCTGGGCTGGCAGCAGGTGGAGGCAGGGCCTGACAGCTTTCTTGCCGTGTGGCACACGCTTTGGGAGCAGAGCTGTAGCCCAAAGTGAACCGCCCTGGGGCTAGAAGTGTTGACTCAGGCATGGGAAGGTGTAGAGCAGGCGAGTCAGGGTGAGGAAGGTGCGGGGGACTTGGTTGTCATGGGAGGTGCGTGAATCTGTACTGCAGAGTGGCTGCCCGGGGGTCTCCTGTGGTGGCACGTTATGTCAGGGTAAGGTGTTTTAGCATTCTTAGTTTTCTGAGGAAACTCCACAGAAAGTTTTACTTTATTTCTTAGAAGTAAGGACAGATACCAGTTTCTCACCTGTCCTCTGCCCCTCTAGGCACATTGAGGATAAGTCCACCGTGTTTGGGACTGCGCTCAACTATGTGTCTCTCAGAATTCTGGGCGTTGGGCCTGACGATCCTGACCTGGTACGAGCCCGTAACATTCTTCACAAGAAAGGTATGGCCTGTGCAGCATGTCCTGGGCGGGGAGTTCGTGTTATCTCGATAATGAGCTCTCGCATACGAGATACAGAAAGATGCACTTCCAGCTGAAACAATGGGCAAAGCACATGAGCAGGGAATTTGTCAAAACAGAAGTAGGCAGAAACTGTTTAACCTAGGCATCGTTTTTTTAAAAAAGCAAATTAAGAGCCAGGCACAGTGGCTCACGCCTGCAGTTCCAGCACTTTGTGAAATTGAGGTGGAAGGACCACTTGAACCTAGGAGTTTGAGGCCAGCCTGGGCAACATGGTGAGACCTGGTCCCTACAAAAACAATAAAATATTAGCCAGGTGTGATGATATACACCTGTAGTCCTAGCTGCTTGGAGGCTCGTAAGGCAGGAGGATCACTGGAGCCCAGGAGTTCTGGGTTGCAGTGAGCTGATTGTACCACTGCACTCCGGCCTGGGTGACAGAGTGAGACCCTGTCTCTGAAAAAATAAAAAAGCAAAGCAAATTAAGACAACTAGGTAATTCTGTTTGTTTCCTGAACTGGCAAAGACTTAAACGAAGAATGTTAATATGTCCACCTTCTTGGGGCAGCCTGACCACAGGCGAGAGCAGGCCTGGAGCTTGCACCTTCCGAGCTGGCTGTCTACGTCTCCAAGCCCTGGCTGTCCACCTCTCCAAGCCCCAACTGTCTACCTCTCCAAGCCCTGAGCTGTCCACCTCTCCAAGCCCCGGCCTAGCTACCTCTCCAAGCCCTGGCTGTCCACTTCTCCAAGCCCCGGGCTATCCGCCTCTCGAAGCCCTGACTGTCCACCTCTCCAAGCCCCAACTGTCTACCTCTCCAAGCCCCAGCCTGGCTCCCTCTCCAAGCCCTGGCTGTCCACCTCTCCAACCCGCGGCCTGGCTACCTCTCCAAGCCCCGGTCTGGCTACCTCTCTAAGCCCTGACTGTCCATCTCTCCAAGCCCCGGCCTGGCTACCTCTCCAAGCCCTGGCTGTCCACCTTTCCAAGCCCTTGGCTACCTCTCCAAGCCCCAGCCTGGCTACCTCTCCTCTTGCCTATAGGCCCTGAGGGCAGTTCCAGCCCAAGGGAATCCATGGCTCCTGCTTCTCCAAGAAAACCTAGTTCATGTTGTGGCTCTGCAGAGCCTGGCCTGGTCTTGTCTTCTGCCTTTCACGGACCTTCCGTAGCCAATCCCACCTACCCTGCTCTCTGCTCCATGCACAGGGGCCTCCTGTCAGCTCCTCAAAAGGCCCTTGCTATCCCAGGGCTCGCCGTGCACTGCTTCCTTAACCTGGAGCCTCTTACCTTCCACTCCTGCCCCGCTGGCTCACACTTTACATGTTCCTTCTTTGAGGACCTCTTCCTGACCTACCATGCCAGATGGAGTGTCCTGTTACGCATTCTCACGAGATCCTGCCGCATGGGCTTGTCACTGTTGTCATCAGTTCACTGTCAGCCTTTGGTGTCATTGATGCTGCGTCCCCAAGGCTGCTGTCTGGCTCCCACCACACTCCTGGCGCCTGTCTGGTGAAGGAATGTGTTTAGGCTGCACTTTGCCTAGTAGCTTTGTGAGCCTTTGACTTTTGCGTACCTTTTGGGGTTTGGAGCAGGGGCTCCTCAGAAGCGTGTTTAGATGGCGTGGCTGTGCCAGAACTGCATGCTGCTGAAGTGGCTCTGGCATGGGGCCAGTGTGCTGGAGCTACTCTGGAGTTTGGGGTTGTCCTTGTTCCCGTACGGGACCAGTCTGCCAAGTGGAGATGACACAGATGGGGGCAGCCCAGGCTTGGCTTAGAGGGCGAGGCCGAACGTGCGCTGTCACTTCCCCGCATTGCCTTCTCCAGGTGCATGTGCACCTGGGCCCCTCGCTCACCTGAGCACTGAGGTGTCCCTGAACCTTCCCAGGTAGCTGTCTTCACGTGCTCCTTCCTGGGGCCAGGGGTTGCAAACACCTCTCCTGGGGCTGGACACACTCACTCCCAGGGAAGCCACTGGTTCCACCTAGGAGCCGTGTATCCAGGGCAGTTCTGAGCACTCTGGAACCTGCTTCGCACATGGGGGTTGCAAGATCCGCATGCGGCTGCCCTTGGCTCATGGAGAGGGGCACACGTGACTCCCAGAGGGTGAAGCTTCCCAGCTAGAGCAGTGCTGGCTTTGCTGACAGGAAGCAGATGACATGGGCCTATTCTCTCTCCCCTCAGGTGGTGCTGTGGCCATCCCCTCCTGGGGGAAGTTCTGGCTGGCTGTCCTGAATGTTTACAGCTGGGAAGGCCTCAATACCCTGTTCCCAGAGATGTGGTATGTCTGCTGTTGATTTGGTTGTTGGGCTGCTGCTGCCGTCCCGAGGAGTAGAGTGACAGGGACCATGCGTGGGTCAGGCGCAGGCTGTGACACAGAGAGGGGTGGTCATTCTGTGGGTGGGGGGAGTTAGACTCCTGGCAGAGGCCCTGATCGAGCTTGAGTTCTATAGGGATACAGAAAGGGGGAGGTTCCCAGCTGGGCAGGAAGGAGGCTGTGCCGTGGATGGAGGTACCCGAGTCAGGCTGCAGGCAGGGCTGGGTGGCTTCCATCTTGCTATGGAAGACTCTGAGCATCTGTAGGAGTAGGGGAGGCTGCCCCTCCCCCAGCCAGCACGGGGGCGTCCTATGCTGCTGCTGCTGTGCCTGTCTCCTTTGCTGGTGAATGTGAAGTGTGTCCCACCGGGACACCTCACCTGTGGACTCAGTGTGTGTGCCTTTAAAAGATCAGTGTTTGCGGCCAGGTGCGGTGGCTCACGCCTGTAATCCCAGTGCTTCCAGAGGCCAAGGCGGGCAGATCACAAGGTCAAGAGATCGAGACCATCCTGGCCAACGTGGTGAGATCCGTCTCTACTAAAAATACAAAAATTAGCTGGGCATGGCGGCCCACGCCTGTAGTTTCCAGCTACTCGGGAGGCTGAGGCAGGAGAATCATTTGAACCTGGGAGGCAGAGGTTGCAGTGAGCCAAGATTGTGCCACTGCACTCCAGCCTGGCAACAGAGCAAGACTCTGTCTCAAAAAAAGAAAGATCAGTGTTTGTTTTTTTAAACAGAACCACATACTGTTTAAATACTCAGCAAAATCAACATTAATTTCTTATCATCTGGTGTTTTTTTGTTCTGTTTTGTTTTGAGACAGAGTCTTGCTCAGGCTGGAGTGCAGTGGCATGATCTTGGCTCACTGCAACCCCCGCCTCCCGGATTCAAGCGATTCTCCTGCCTCTGCCTCCCGAGGAGCTGGGATTACAGTCTCAGGCCACCACACCCAGCTAATTTTTGTATTTTTAGTAGAGACAGGGTTTCACTCTGTTGGCCGGGCTGGTCTCAAACTCCTAACCTCAGGTGATCCGCCTGCCTTGGCCTCTCAAAGTGCTGGGAGCCATGAGCCACTGCGCCCGGCCTTACCTGGTCTCTTTAACCGCTGTCTTGTAACATTTTGTGGCTATCTATTGAAAGCAGTGAACATTTCCCCAGAAAACACTCATGCATATGAGTTTACCCCGTTATACGTTTTGGGAAGTGAGACCCTGGAACCACACAGAGCCCCTGCTGGCTTCCTGGAGTGCTGTGGGAACCCTGGTGGGGATCTCCCCTAGAGAGCTGTCAGCACGGCTGGGGGTCCCTTGTGTTAGATGACTTTGGTGGAGGGGGGATCAAGCTGGCAGGAAGTGAAGGGACTGCTCAAGAGGGGACAGCAGTGTCCTGATACAAAGGCCGGGGGTTTCACCCCGGAAGCCAGTTTGGGTGGTGAGGGGAGGCACGGGGATGACGAGATCACCCCCAGAGGGTAGACAGAGCTGAAAGAGTAGGGGGCAGGGTAGGGCCATAGAGCACATGGGTTGGGAGGTGTCCTGGGGCCATTCAGGTGCCAGCTGGACTCTGCACCTCACCCATGTGTAATGAGCAGCAGAGGAAGGACTGAGACGGCAGTCGGCACAGCTGCCAGGGCAGGGGGGATATAGAGTCCACACGCTGGTGCTGGTGAGGGCGTCTCATCTGCTCCACTTGGTGGGGCCGTCAGTCAGTGCTGCTGCAGGAGCACACTAGGGTGCTGCTTGTCTTTGCTGGAGTTGCTTGGAGGGTGGGTTGGGAGGTGAAAGGAGGACCACAGACCTGAATCACTCCAGCTGCAGAAATGCTGGAAGTATAACCCAAAATATTAAAAAAAAAAAAACACCCTTTTAAGTAAGTGAATGTGGAAGTGGGCCAAGGCCCGATGCCACAGTCAGGGAGCAGGAAAGGCTCATCATTGCTCACCCTCCTGTGGCATCACATAAGGATGGGGGCTAGCAGGGAAAGGGTAGAGAAAACCTGAGGCACGCACAGACCCTGGGAAGCTGGTGGAACTGTGCTAATGTCAGCAGCCAGTGATCAAAGACCCAGGCCTTAGGGAGATTCCACAGACCTACAGTTTCTTTTTTCTTTTTTTTTGAGACAGAGTCTCGCTCTGTCACCAGGCTGTGTGCAGTGGTACAATCTCGGCTCATTGCAACCTCCTCCTCCTAGGTTCAAGCGATTCTCCTGCCTCAGTCTCCTGAGTAGCTGGGACTAGAGTCACATACCACCATACCTGGCTAATTTCTGTGTTTTTAGTAGAGACAGGGTTTCGCCATGTTGGCTAGGCTGGTCTCAAACTCCTGACCTCAAGTGATTCACCAGCCTCGGCCTCCCAAAGTGCTGGGGTTATAGGCGTGAGCCACCGCGCCCAAAGTTTCTTAACCTTTTAAAAGTAAACTTTAAATTTTGGAGTAGTTTCCAATTTCTGGGAAAGTTGCAAAGACAGCCGAGAGTGTTCCCTGGGGCCCTCACACCATATCCCCATTGTTGATGTTTTATGTTACCAAGGTATGTTTGTTGTAGCTAAGAAACCCACAGACAATCCTAAGCCTTTAGGAGCTCCATCACCTGGCTTTAGTATGCAAAATGCTGACCAAACTAGGAGGTGCAGCTCCTCGGAGGGTGCATCTGCAGTTCAACTGTCCCCCTCAGGAGCACGGTTGGGAAATGCCCGCAGATGCACTGACGTGGTGGGGAATAGCCATCCATCCACCAGTGTTCATGCTTGGAAGGGCCCAAGGTATGGATGCTGGCGGAGGGGGCAGGTTTGAGTCTTGGGGTCTCCCACTGATTCCTGCCGTTGCCCCAGGCTGTTTCCTGACTGGGCACCGGCACACCCCTCCACACTCTGGTGCCACTGCCGGCAGGTGTACCTGCCCATGAGCTACTGCTATGCCATTCGGCTGAGTGCCACGGAGGACCCGCTGGTCCAGAGCCTCCGCCAGGTAGGACCTCATCAGGGAACAAAGCGAGGGCCTCTGGGGCTGGGACCCACAGGGCCTGGGGCTTCTGGAATCCAACCACAGCTGTCCACTCACCTGGCGGCCCTGTGGAGCCGAGAGCCCTGTGATCAGAGCAGAGCCTCCACCTTCCTCCATTCTATAATAAATAGTGAGCAAGCTCTGCCCAGAGGGGACTTGTGCTATGGGACAGGCAGCAGCTGTAGCCCAGGGTTCCTGGGGGTACTTCCAGGACTCAAGGGATGCAGGAGGCAGATGCGCACTGTGTGCTCTGGAAGCAAACAGAGGGGTTTGAGGTGCAGGATGTTTATCAGGCCTGCCCTGGGGAAGGAGGAGGGGCAGAAGGAGGAAATGAGCGTCTGGGCAGACCTGGGGCTCATGGAGCTGGGGAGCTCCTCCGAGCAGTCTTCACACAGGGCCCTTCGTGTGCCCTTGGGGTCAGTTGCTGGAGGGACCCCCACCCAGGAAGGGACTAGCCCGGGGCCCTGGGGCATGTGGTGGGAGGCCACCCCTCCTGGTTTGAGCCAGGCCTGCCGGGTGCCCCCAGGCCCCCAGGCTCAGACACTGCGCCCACCAGGAGCTCTATGTGGAGGACTTCGCCAGCATCGACTGGCCGGCACAGAGGAACAACGTGGCCCCCGACGAGCTGTACACGCCGCACAGTTGGCTACTCCACGTGGTGTATGGTGAGCACCTCCTGAGGGGCTGGCAGGGCAGCCAGGGGTCAGGGTGTTGCCCATTCATTCACGTACTCATCCCCTGCCAGCGGCACTGGGCCACCCCCTCTGTGCCAGGCCCCGGGGCGGGATCTCATCGCCCTGCTCCTCCCCACCGAGAGCCAGCTGGTCTTCCACTCTCAGGAGCCCACCCTGTGCAAGGGTGTGTGGTAGGAGGTGTGCGGCAGCCCCTCCTGGGCAGGGAAGGAGGAGCTCGGAGACCAGGCCTGGGGGTGGGTTGTGGGGGAACCCTGGGGAAGGGCAAGTCCGGATACTGCAGTGCACAGGGCTCCAGGCCGAGGCCAGTGTCATGGTGTCTGGCATCCACTGACCTGCGTCCCCTGCAGCGCTCCTCAACCTCTATGAGCGCCACCACAGTGCCCACCTGCGGCAGCGGGCCGTGCAGAAGCTGTATGAACACATTGTGGCTGACGACCGATTCACCAAGAGCATCAGCATTGGCCCGGTCAGTGCCCCTGCCTGGCTGCTGACCGCAGCCCCTGAGGGTTAAGGTCCGAGAGTGAAGTCCTGGAGGCCGGGCTGTGAGCTGGGAGTGGGGTCTCCTGGAGCTCCTCCATTTGGGAGGTGGCCCTCCGATCTCACAAACGTTTGAGGGCTTCTGTCCTGGTCCCCTGCACGCCCAGCTCAGTGAAGCCGCCCCACCACACTCAACTTTTCCTTCCGTCCCCCACCAGCTCTTGTCCTCAGTGTGCCTGGACACTCTCCTGGAGGCCCCTTCCTGAGATCCTGCTGGCTAGCTGGGAGGGGTGCTTTTTCCTCACTTGGTTCCCTCCGAATTCCTCTCCCCAAATAGTTCATCATTCGCCATTCTCCCATCCGGTTTAGACATGCCCAGGGTGGGTGGGGGTAGCAGGGTCCTTGGGTTCCACTCCTGATTCCTCCTGCCTAGCTAGGGACTTGGAGCGCTAGCCTCTGTGGGGCCTGCAGGGGGCCAGGTGTGGGCCAGTTCAGTGACCTTGGAGGTGCAGTCCCCGGGCTACTGGTGCAAGGCCGCCTCCTGACAGAGTCAGCAGCTCCTGGGCTGTGCCGTAGCTGCTGCGGCGTAGTGGGTTGGCCTGGGCATTCTCTAGACATACCCAGGTGGCACTGGCCACTGAGTCCCACCCTGACACTGCATCTCGGGTTTCTGGGGCCTCTTGCCACCTCAGTGAATCACCAATTCTGATGGACCCTGCAGCGGGTCCCTTGTTTGCTGCTCAGCAGTGGTGTGGTTCTTTGTGGGTTTTGGTTTAATCCCACGTAGAGCACATCTGTACTAAATGCATTAGAAACACGCTTACAATTGGATCTTGACTTGTGAGATCCATAAGTAAAAAGTTGGGGGCCTCTGGAACGTTCTGTTCTGAGGAAGAAGGGGGGCAATCGGTCCCTACTGCTACAGTCCTGTCTTCGCATCTCTTCCTGGGCCCGTCAGGCCCCGTCCTCTGTCCCCTGTGTTGTCTCTAAGGCACCTGGTAGCCCACGCCCCTCTGGCACCTCCTGGAACCCTTTGCTTCTCCCTGATGGAGTGCCGGTCAGTCCTCACACGCTAAGCCAGGCTGTGGCCTCGGCCGACACTGCCTCTGTCTGAGTCAGGTCCTGGGGACACAGTTGTTGCCCATCCTCACTCAGGAAACGCCTGTTAGAGCAGAAGGACCCTGTCCTGGCCCTGAGTGAGCTGTACAGGACCTTATCCCTGGGGTCTGCTGTGGTTCTGGACGGGACTTTGTCCCTGGGGGCTGCTGTGGGTCTGGACGGGACCTTGTCCCTGGGGGCTGCTGTGGGTCTGGACGGGACCTTGTCCCTGGAGGCTGCTGTGGGTCTGGACGGGACCTTGTCCCTGGGGGCTGCTGTGGGTCTGGACGGGACCTTGTCCCTGGGGGCTGCTGTGGGTCTGGAGCAGAGCCCTGACAGGGCTGTGTCTCCTGCAGATCTCGAAAACCATCAACATGCTTGTGCGCTGGTATGTGGACGGGCCCGCCTCCACTGCCTTCCAGGAGCACGTCTCCAGAATCCCGGACTATCTCTGGTGAGTGTGGCTGGGATGTGCTGGTGAGGACTCTCACGAAGGCTGGGTCTGAGCCCGGCTGCGTCCCAGTGAGGGGGCCCCCACGGTGCCATCTGGGAATGCTGCCAGGGAATACCACAGGCACCAGCAGTGTCAGGGCTTGTGGAAGCCACTGAGGGTTGTCTTTGAATTGGAAGATTTGCCACCCAGTGGAAGCGTGGGGTGGTCCCAGAAGGTAGAGTGAGGAAGGGGGTGGTAGGTAGCAGGGCAGCTTCAGGTTGGCGTCAGGGAGGCCTGTGGACAAGGGGAGCTTGTCAGCCACGGACTGTGCCCTGGAGGTGGGGCCGCTGTCATGGAGGGCACAGAGCCGTCCCACAGTGGGAAGCTCTTCCTCTGGTCCCTTGGCACTGCACGAGGGCAGCAGGGATGGCGTAGCCTGGGGTCAGGGACTGCCCCTTGCCTTGGGTGTGCCCCTCCTGGGTGAGTGTGTCCTGTCTTCCATAGAGTGTGGCCCTCATGCCCAGGAGCCCAGCAGCCCAGTTGGGGTGGTATCCAGGCCAGTGCCAGGCCTCGGGGGAGGGGACAGACCCCCTCTCTGGGACCCTCCTGGGTGCAGGGTCTGGGTAGCCAGCTGGGCTTCCAGCTTTCTCCTTGCACCTGACTTGGGCTTTTTTTGTCCTCACAGGATGGGCCTTGACGGCATGAAAATGCAGGTAAGGGCTGCAGGACTGCGGCTGCCTGCTTCCTTTGCAATCATTTCTACCCTCTGTTATTTTTCCTTTGGGGTTCAGAAATAACTCCTCCTGGACCAGGTCCCGGCAGCGTGTGGCCAGAGGCTGCGTCAGTTGAGGCCTCTGGCCGTGTCCCTGTGGGTGCCCACAGTTCTCCAATGTCTGTCTGCTGCTGTCCTGTTTGCATTTTGCCCTGATGGTCCGAGTGGGCTCAACTGTGTAACGACAGACCCAGAGCTGCAGAAGCTCTCATCTTGTTACTGTGGCAGGAGGTGGCTCTGCTTCGTGGGGGCTTCTCCTCCGTGCACTCTTAATTTAAGAGGCTCCTTCTTCAGGTGCTGGGTGGACGGGAGCCTGGAGGACCGTGGTGGCCTGTGGCCGGGCCTGGGAGCTCCCCGAGGACTTGGCCTGAGTGGGCTGGAACCCAGTCATGAGGGGCACCAAGCACAAGAGAGTGGGGAGGCCAGTGTGGGATCCTGGCTGACCCTGGCCCTGTCCTGGCTCTGGGGGCCCTAGAGACCCCAGTCCTGTCCGACTGGGCTGAGCCTGCGCCCCTTTGTGCATTGACACAGTGGGTGTGTCAGAAACCCAGAAAGCGTTGCCCTGTGCCTTGTGGTCTAAGGAGGGTTACGCCCTGCGGGGCCTGTCTTCTGTCCCCCACACTGATTCAGTGTGGGAATATGGAGTCTCCAGAGGTGTCCTGGGTGTCACATTTGGGATAGACACACATGGGCCCAGCACTGCCCGCCCCAGGGCTACCCTTGGTGCCAGGTGCCCCCAGCCACGAGCTTTTACACAGCTGGCCTTGAGCTCTCCAGAGGCTCCCTGGACACTGTCTGTGTTTTGTGAAAAGGTTTTCAAAACATATGCAAGGTAGAGGTGAGTAACAGGCACTAGAGCAGGCCCTGGCCTCCCTGGCCCTCCCTATCCAACCCTTCCTGTCCCGCCCTCTCTGTCCGGCCCTCCCTGACCCGCCCTCCCTGACCCTCCCTCCCTGGTCCTCCCTGTCCCTCTGTGACCCTCCTCCCTGGCCCTCCCTGTCCCACATCTCCGACTCCTCAGTGCACCTCAAGCTGATGAGGCCGTCTGTGTTTTTCCAAAATTGCTCTGAGATTGTCACACCCAACAAACTTCATGACGGTTCCTAAGTGTAGTCCTCAGGTTGTGGCTGGTGTGTGTGAATCAGGATTCAGGCCATTCACACAGGCCTTTGGTTGTTGGTCTTTGGGCTCCTGTTAGTCCAGCAGTCTCTGTGGTCTCTTTTCTCCTCCTGGAAGATGTGTCCCGAAGGGCTTCACATTCCAGATCTGACTGGTTGCTCCTGCTGTTCCCTGAGTTTTTGTAAACTGGCCAGGCCCTGAGGCTTGATCCCGTTGTGTTTCTTTGGCGAGAATGCTTTTCTGGTGGTCCCCGCCTTGTCCCTCCAGTGCGTGTATCTGGATGCCTCTGCCACACACCACCCTCCGCCCAATCCCCATGTCTGTCTTGGTCAGTGCCCAGCTCTGTCTCACTAGGGTTTGGTTACCGGCCCTTTGAACTGAGACCAGAGTGTGTACCTGTGAGCCCAGCTTGGGGTGAGATATGAGGTGGGGCCTTCCCAGCCCTGTGCAGAATTCCCATCACCTCCAGGTGTACTCATTAGCCGGGCGCGGTGGCTCACGCCTGTAATCCCTACACTTTGGGAGGCCGAGGAGGGCAGATCACGAGGTCAGGAGATTGAGACCATCCTGGCCAACATGGTGAAACCCCAACTCTACTAAAAAATAGAAAAAAAATTAGCCGGGCGTGCTGGCGGGCGCCTGTGGTCCCAGCTACTCGGGAGGCTGAGGCAGGAGAATGGCGTGAACCCAGGAGGCGGAGGTTGCAGTGAGCTGAGATTGCGCCACTGCTCTCCAACCTGGGCGACAGAGTGAGACTCCATCTCAAAAAAAAAAGAAATGGGGGTCATTTCCAAGTGTCACCATGACTGAGGTGCGCTGCTGTCACTGGGTGAGAGCAGCTGGATGCTCTGTGTGTGGGTACTGGAGCCTCTGACGGATCGTCCAGTCCTAGAAGTGTCCTCAGAGGGACGCTGACCTGCCTGGTGGCCCATGAAGAAAGGGGGTGCTCCACGAGGCTCCCTGACCTGTGTCTGCCTGCAGGGCTCAGAGGGGTCAGCCATGAGGGGTGCCCAGGGCTCAGAGCCTGAGGCTGAGTGTTGGCTGGGTGGGAGCCCCCACACCTGGCCCTCAGGTGCCCATTGGATCCTGGAGGCAGTGGCTGGGAGTGGGAGGGGCTGCACCCGCTGTTGTAACACCGTCCTCTGTGTGTAGGGCACCAACGGCTCACAGATCTGGGACACCGCCTTCGCCATCCAAGCTCTGCTTGAGGTTCGTGGCTCCTCTTTTCTCAGCCTCCGCTGACCTTCCTGTGCATGTGAGCCCATGCATTCACCTGAGGGCAGCACTGCTGGCCACACGGTTGCCACTCCTTGGTATTTCCAGTGACCTGGGCTCTGGCCTCTGGCTTCAGATGGTCATGCTGTGGAGGGGGCGGCCTTGGCCAGCAGCCCTGGGTGTTGGGCTGGGTCGGGGGCCTTGGGAGGGCAGGGGCTGGAGGCCGTGTGAGAAGGGGAGCCTGGTGAAGGCTGTTTCTGAGAGTGCAGGCAGGAGTGGGACTCCAGGCTCTTCTCAGAAGTGGAACTGCTCGGGCCAGGCACGGTGGCTCACGCCTGTGATCCCAGCACTTTTGGGAGGCCGAGGCGGGTGGATCACAAGGTCAGGAGTTCAAGACCAGCCTGGCCAAGATGGTGAAACCCCGTCTCTACTAAAAATACACAAAAATTAGCCGAGCGTGATGGTGGGCACCTATAATCCCAGCTAGTTGGGAGGCTGAGGGAGAGAATTGCTTGAACCCGGGAGGTGGAGGTTGCAGTGAGCCAAGATTGTACCACTGCACTCCAGCCTGGGTGACAGAGTGAGACTCCGTCTCAAAAAAAAAAAAAAAAAAAGAACTGGAACTGCTTGTGCTTGTTATGGGCATTCTCCAGCCAGTACTGGAGAAAAACAAGAGTGGATTTTTACGCTGGTGGGAATGAGGTCAGTGGGATTCTGAAAGTGTTTCTGGAGAGTCCTGAGGGCTGGGCCACGCAAGGGGCCTGCCCACGCAGGGTGCTGGAGACCCCCTGGGCGTAGATGCTGGCCAGGCAGGTGGGTGCTGGCATCCATAAATGGTCTCTTCTGCGCCCTTCCATCTGCAGTCATATCTCATGGACTTTTGGTTTTTTGTCTTTAAAGGTAAGTGCAACAAGAAACCCTGGCACTGTCTAGAGATGTCCACCAGTTTGATTCTGGTTCCCAGTGAGGGCGGGATGTGGCCAGGACCATCGGGAAACCAGCCCAGCCGTGCTGGCCGTGCAGGGGCAGCTCAGCCTCTCTGTCCTGCTGTCTCTTCCAGGCGGGCGGGCACCACAGGCCCGAGTTTTCGTCCTGCCTGCAGAAAGCACACGAGTTCCTGCGACTCTCGCAGGTGAGGCCAGTGCCTGGGGCTCTGAGGGGGCTGAAGAGGGGGATCAGGGCCAGGAGCTCCGGCAGGCAGAAGTGCCCACCTCGCCTCCACCCTGCCCTATTCCCTGCACTGGTTTTTCAGGTCACCCCCGCCCTCCCCTCCCCTCCCCTCCCTAGCCCCTGCTCCACCCACCAGTCCTCCTCGGGCTGGCCTCACCTGGGGCAGCTCTCTGAGGCCTTCAGGGTGCTGGAGGTGCTGGCAGTTTCTGCATCCTGCTCATGTTGGAGCCACTGTGTGCAGGGGCCAAGCACGGGCAGGGGCTGCACAGCCTACACGGCACCTCCGTGTCTCTGAAGCACCTCTGCCCACGGAGGCGATGCCAGCCTGTGGACTTTCCCTCCTGAGACTGCACCGAAAGCCCCGGTCCATCCTGCCAGATCAGCTGCCCACAGACCCTGCCCGAGCCCGTAGTTTGACCTCAGTGTCTCTCACACATGTCTGCACGCCAGTCTGCAGCCACAGTCATCCCATACATGCACCCCAACCTCCCATGTCTCCCATGCCTCAGCCAGTGTCCCTCTGCCTGGAACCACTGCCCCCCAGCGCCATCTCCCACCCTTCACCTCTCACCAGGACATTCTTCTGCAGGGTTTCTGGGTCTTCCTGGCCTCCGTGTGGCCGAGGCTGGCACCCATCTTGGGCTCAAGCAGAGGAGGGGCATGGTCCTGCTGTGCCTGCCCCTATGGCAGCCTGCTCCTGCTCCTGCCTCCTGCCGAGGACTTGCTCTGGGTGATGGGGACTTGGGGAGGCTGACTGAACCCTACTGCACTCCAGACCTCTTTCCTTCTCACTGAGGTGAGAGGCAGCCCAGGAGCTGAGGTCCACGGATCTGGGATTGTTCAGGAGGCAGCGGGGGCCCCTGGCACAGAGCACACCCGCAGAGACCTGGGCCCCCTCCCTGCCTTCTGGCCAGTGGGGAGATCACAGGGGAGTCAGGTGCCTCCCGTCTGGGCTGGTTTCAGCCCTCAATGGCCAGTCATGTTTCCCAGCAGCCGTGGGTGGTGAGCTGAACAGGTGCAGGCCCTCGGGTGCCTTGCAGCACCATGATGGCTATGGCCGGCAGAGTAAGCTCCCGGGCAGGTCCTGCCTCTCCGGTCCTGCCCAGTCTGTCTCAGTGATGTCCCAGATGGGGATGTCCCGTGGTGACATGTTCTCTGCTTCCACATTTACCCTCGGTGCTGCCAAGGTCCCAGATAACCCTCCCGACTACCAGAAGTACTACCGCCAGATGCGCAAGGTATGCGGAAGCCAGCCCCATCCCTGCCCCGTCCCCAAGGGAGGCCGCCCTCCGCAGGGTGGATCCTTCCATCTGAAGGGGGCTCTTCCTTTGGCATCTCTGGGTGTCCTGCTGTGGTAGACGCCTGGCGTGGGGGCCCATGCCTCGTTGCTGAGCTGCCTGGCACATGGGGGCACAGTTGGCTTGCACACGTGGCTGTGCCTCAGAGCGGTTCAGGTGGTCACGGCACACACGGGCTTCAGAAGGACAGCCGGAGTGTAGTCAGGGCGTCCGGGGAAGGAGAGGGAAGAAGCAGACCTCAGAGCCCGGGTGGGCTGTGACCACAGGTGCAGGCTGTGAAGTTAGGCATGGACACAGCTGCTGCTGCCTGTTTACGATGGGGTGGGGGTCACCTGGGCCCCATCCTATCCGTCGTGAGATCTGAAGGTGTTGAGGGTGTGAGCTGCACCCCTGAGGGTCCCTATGCTGGAAGCTGGAGGTCTGTCTGGATGTACCCAGCTTGGGGCCCTGGCTATACACACACCTTTGGTGGATGGGCCCCTGCCCTGACCGGGTGCTCTGTGGTGGGGACGGATGCGTGCGGCTGTGGGGTGGGTCTGAGAACTGGGGTATGGACACCCCCAACCTGGGGTCACGGCTTGTGCTCTGCAGGGCGGCTTCTCCTTCAGCACGCTGGACTGCGGCTGGATCGTCGCTGACTGCACGGCTGAGGCCTTGAAGGCTGTGCTGCTGCTGCAGGAGAAGTGTCCCTATGTCACCGAGCACATCCCCCGAGAGCGGCTCTGCGATGCTGTGGCTGTGGTAAGGCTGTGGTCCCAGCAGCCCCGTCCATACATCGTGTCCCGCAGAGAGCTGCGTGCTCACTTCCACTCCCGTGGGCTCCGGCCCAGCACACGCTCCGGCCCAGCACACGCTCCGGCCCAGCACACGCTCCGGCCGGGCCGTGGGAGCTTGTCCTTGGACAGCGTCTGTATGTGGAGAACTGTGAGCTCTGGCTAGACCCCTAGGGGCCTTGCTGGGCTGTGTGCACAGGGCCCTGCACTGCGGAGCTGGTGTCCAGCCCAGCACCGATGCTTGCAGGAGCCAGTGTGGCAAGTTTTCTGTCTGGTGGTTTCTGCTGGGTGTCTGAAGAAGGAATTTGTTGGTTCTGGTGCCACATCCTTTCAGCACATCTGGCTTTTGTGTGTGTTTCCCAGTGGAGACCCTGCCCTAATCTGGTAGCACACACTTGGTTTCTAAGTCATGGCACGTGTGGGGGCATATTCCCTGGTGGGTGTGCACGGAGGCCCTGATGGCTGAGGTTGCAGCTGCTGCTTGGGGCACCCAAGGGCTCGGTTAACGTGGAAATCGGGTCTCCACCCTCTGTTCCTGCCCCATCGGTTGTCAGCCCTAGTGTTGCCTCTAGAGAGTTCCGCTGTGGCCTGGGCGTCTGTGTGTCTCAGCACGTGGGTGAGTTCTCGGGTGCTGTGTGATTTCAGCTGCTGAGCATGAGGAATCCTGACGGAGGGTTTGCCACCTATGAGACCAAGCGTGGGGGGCACTTGCTGGAGCTGCTGAACCCCTCGGAGGTCTTCGGTGAGTGGTCGGCCAGTGCTGTGGCACACAAAGCTGGGGTTGGCCAGCGCTGTGGCACACAAACCCAGGGTTGGCCAGCACTGTGGCACACAAACCCAAGGCCAGCGCTGTGGCACACAAACCCAGGGTTGGCCAGCGCTGTGGCACACAAACCCAAGGCCAGCCAGCGCCATGGCACATAAACCTGGGGCTGGCCAGTGCTGTGGTGCACAAACCCGGGGACCAGCTTTTCCCCCTTGCCCAAGGCTGCAAGGGCCCAGGTTCACGAGCAGATCTGTCTGGAACCCTCCCTGAGCCCAGGCCATTCTGCACTCCTCCATCCCCGGGGGTGGCAGGATCCTTGTGTTGTGGATAGGAGGGCATCAGGTCAGACATAGGGGATGGTGGAGGGTTCCGGTGAGATCCGCAGCCTGGGCTGGTTCCCACTCAGTCCACAGGCCTGTGTTCTGGGGGGGCTGCTGTGTGTCCAGAGCGCCTGCAGGGAGGTGTCTGTGGGGACTGAGGGGACCCATGCCATGGGCGGTAGGCTGCTGTGTGTGCGTGGTTGCCACTGTACTGGTCTTGGGGGAGGATCTCACCCCTGGTCCACCTCTGGGCACCTCACATATACCCCCCTTTCTGGTCCCCTCCCATCACACATGGCTTTTTGGGGTGGGGTCACAGCTTTCTGCTGTGTTCCCCTCATCTTCGCTCTCACGTAGCACAGGTGTGTGTCCTGGGCCAGCCAGTGTTTGCTCTGGAGGTTGGTCAGGGAGTCAGGGTCCAGGCCCGGGATTTGGCCTGGGCAGCCAGGGTGAAACTCAACACCTTGGTTGTTCCCTCCCGTTCCCAGGGGACATCATGATTGACTACACGTATGTGGAGTGCACCTCCGCCGTGATGCAGGCGCTTAAGTATTTCCACAAGCATTTCCCGGACCACAGGGCAGCAGAGATCAGGTAAGGAGGGCCTCAGCCCAGGATGCTCTGCCACTCAGTGTGGGGGCTGCCAGGTCGAGGGCCATAACCCAGCGCATCATTCTTTAACACAGGGCCCTGGCGGCCCATCTCAGAAACAAAACTCATGGAAACATGCAAGAGACTTCGGATGTTGTAGAATCCAGTCATATGCCCTGAAGCATGAAAATATCTCTTAGGGGCTCAGAATAGCACAATTATAACACACAAATGGATTTTCTCGCTCTCTTTTAATAATGTTAAAAAGACATTACATACCGAACTCCACCTGTGTCCCAGTAGCGGTTTTTAAGTAACCTTTCCTATTGGAGGGTAGCCAGTATTCAGAAAAGTGTACAGCTTGATCTTCCTGAAGTGAACAGGCGCTGGTGCCAACACTAGACATAGTGACGCCACCAGATCCCTCAGCTCTCCCCATGAGGGGCGCCCACATGCCTGCCAGGTCGTGGGCTTCTGTTGCTTGCTTTGAACCTTGTCTGGGTGGACTCCTGAGGTGCGGAATTCATGTTGCCTTCTGCTCTCCTGCGTGTGGTTAGCCAGGTGGCTCGGGTCACAGCAGCGCTCTCTCCCTCGGGCCTTCGGTTGAACGCCGATGCCGCGCTATGCAGCTGCCTGTTGTCAGCACCCAGGAAGATTTCAGTCTGGGTTATGATGAAGTGTCTACTGTGAACACTCTTGTACTTATCTTTTGGGGGCACCTGGGTACCCATTTCTCATGGTCACATACCTAGGAGTGGCATTGCTATGTTGGAGGGTACGTTATAGGGTATGTGGTTTTTGTAGGTTCTTTTTTTATCCTATTACGATTCCTTTTTTTTACTTTTGTTAAACCTGGTGTAGACTCACCTTGGTCATGATGCATTGTCCTTTTTATATATCGCTAGATTCAATTTGAAGAATATTTTGTTAGGAGTCTAACAACTGTGGTTACAAGAGACAGTGGTCTATAATTTTTTTTTCTTTATAATGTTTTTGTCAGGTTTTCCTGTTAAGATGATGCTGGACTCAGGAAAGCAGTTGGAAAGTGTTTTTTAAAATACTCTTTAGAAGAATTTGTGTAGTATTCATAATATTTCTGCCTTAAATGTTTGGGAAAAATTACTGGAAATGCCAGTTGGGCCTGGAGTTTTCTTTGAGGAAAGGTTTTAAATTAGAAGTTCAATTTCTTTCCTTTTTTCTTTTTTTTTTTTTTTTTGAGATGGGGTCTAACTCTGTCACTCAGGCTGGAGTATGGTGTAATTTCTTTAATAGTTTGTAGGACTGAGCAGATTTTCCATTTTTGTATCAGTCTGGGGAGTCTTCCCATTTCCACTCAGCTTTATACTGATTCGCGCAAAGTTGTTCAGTGTCCTCTTGGATGGCTCTGAGCTCAACGCTGACGTCCTCCTCTTCCTTCTGAGAATCTTACACTGATCTTTTGAAAAAAACCATCTTAGTCTTTGATTCTGTTTTCAAAGAGACTTTATTTTTGGTTTCATCAGTTTCTATTCGTTGTTATTTTCTTTCTTTCTTAATTTTTTTGAGAAGGAGTCTTGCTCTGTCGCTCAGGTTGGACAGCAGTGGTGTGATCTCAGTTCACTGCAACCTCCGTCTCCTGGGTTCAAGCGATTCTCCTGCCTCAGCCTCCCGAGTAGCTGGGACTACAGGTGCTCACCGCGATGCCTGGCCAATATTTTGGTATTTTTATTAGAGACAGGGTTTTATCGTGTTGGCCAAGTTAGTCTTGAACTCCTGACCTCAGGTGATCCGCCTTCCTTGGACTCCCAAAGTGCTGGGATTACAGGTGTGAGCCACCACACCAGCCTTTGTTATTTTCTTTCTCCTTTATTTTTCTTGAATACTTAGATATTTGATGTTCAGGCTTTCATTGAAATACGCACTTAAGGCTATAAATGAGTTTTGATATATCATTCAGTTTGAAGTGTTTTCTGGTGCTCGCTGCGGTAGCACACATACTCAAAGTGTTTTCTGTTTCTACTGTTCTTCTCTGGCCCA